GCTAGGGAGATCATCCTGCCCCAAAAGAGCACTGCAAGATGTACTGTTCCCTTATAATAAATTTGTATCAAAGCAGTCTTCCTGCATCAAGAAGACAAAATGATCCAAAGATGGGAGGATGGCTGGAGCCAAAGCACTGTGCAGCCAACGCCTAGGCTAGAAAACTTAATCCATTTTGAGTTAGTGCTTGATGTTTGAGAACATCAGACCGACACTATCCGGGGACGGACTCCTGCAGAGGCCACAGGCTTATTGATTCACAACTGTCTTACTGAACTCATAGCATATTAAAATGATGGCAGTACATTTGAACTTCCTCTTCTAACTGTAGGCATAGATATGCACGTATTAATCATACTCTGTTCCTATACAGGACATCACATCTCCCTCGAACAGTCTATCCAGCTTGTCTCCTATCTAATACTCATATTTCACAATTTTCTCTCCACTATCGAATACCTTACTCTTTCAGGACCAGATCCATTGTAAACAGGGGCAGCACACAATGAGCCACCAAGCATTCACTTCACTGTACAGAGAAACGGATCATAATTTAGAATCAGCTGGACTAGTTATTACAAACATAACTAAAAGCTCTGCTAGAGTTAATCAATTATCTTGATTTGGCATAAGGCCACACTGACCCTGAAAGGCACAGTATCACTCACCCTTGCTTCCCCTGATAACCCCGTTGACATTCCTGCTACTTCCTTCTCTGATCCAGCTGAACATTTTAATCTTCTCTTGTGGTTTTTTTTCCCACAGGATTAGCTCTCAATTAGATCAGCCAGCAGGAAAAAGGCATGACTGTCCCTTTGGGCAGCAAGGTATTCTTAGAACAGTTAAACTGGCGCATGAAACCACACCTTTAACTAAAGTGACTAACGCAGACATAAACTCACAGTCTAAGCACAAGATGTTAAATGTCCAGTGGCCTAAGTCACTGAAAAGATACAAGCCTAAATTAATAGAATGCAACTCATTTAATTATTTTTCTCTAAGTGCTATCTAGAGTCAGGGCCCCGGCATTTTTACGTTTAATGTAAATTTTGCATGGATGATTTTTTAAGACTCTGAAAAACAGTGAGTTTTAGCATTTCTATTTTTTGTCCTGGACAATGACAAATGGCAGTGATACTTTGCAGGAAATGCTGCAAAGAGCATTAGTTCATTGGAAACATTAATTTTCCTTTTAGCCAAACTTCAAAAAAAGTATCACTTTCTCTGCACTTAATACTACATTTGGCTCAGATTCCATTTCTGAATGATATGTATGGAGCACTAAAAAGTGCAGAATAGTGATTTTTTCTGAAATGGTAGAATTATAAATTTCTTAGCAAAATACCAATATAGCAAAAAGTTTTACTATTTTTATTTTGTCATTAAATGTTGGTCTTATCCCACAGCTTGATAACAAATGATTTGGTAATGTATTAGAGAACTGAGTAAGTTTTTAATTTAAAAAAAAAAAGTCCCTGATCATCTTTAGACTTCCAAATACACACAGAAAACAGAAACAGGGAATGGAGAAAGGTCACTTCTAAATTACACCAAACAATGTATATTCTCATCTTTCACTTCATTCCTTCTGTCCTGTGGCCATGAAACAATCTTACTTGCAGAAGCCATCCAGAGACACTGCTTCTCCTGGGTAAGAAGCTACTAGTGTTACAGGAGCACATTTGCACTGAAATATCCTTGTTCACCACAGTCCCTAGTAAAATTCCACTGAAGCCTCAAATACCCACTACTTCTGCAGAGGCACAGTGCTCGATGTATAGCTACTTTCTCAAAGATGTTTCATGTCTTCTGTACCTGTGGTTCACTTTTCTCTAATAAAGGCATTTTGACTACTTCCATTCTGTAGTTTCCTCTGAGTTATACTGTATGTGCATCAAAATGCTTCAGGATCAGCTTTAAAGCTTGTGTTTATCCCCATTTTGGGGAGGAAGAAAAGGATATGAAAATGAAAAGGATAAGCTGTGTCCAAAGGTCTCGCAGTGTGCAAACAGCCTGTAGCCTGCTTCAGGGACACCTAATTTAAAATAATAAGCTATATATGCTTCATATAACTTAGATCGCATTCACCCAGATTAACTTAGATTCATGGGATCTGGGCAGTAAGGCTAAAGTAGAGTTTAGAGACATTCCTCTCAAGGACATGCCTTTTCACACCAGTTCTCTTCTTTTTGGAGTAGTCTCCTTTCTATGTAGAGAGACCACAAGTTGAACCAGAGCAAAGAAGGAAAATTTTAAGAATGCACTGGCAAATCAGCAATCTCTATTGTTGCCTGATTCCAGATTAGCTAGGGAAAATCATCCTGCCCCAAAAGAGCACTGCAAGATGTACTGTTCCCTTATAATAAATTTGTCCATAGCAGCTTACATGTGGGGAGATTGCTTCTCACTTTAAGAGACTTGTCACAAGCTTTTCTCATTCTTGTTATAGATATGTAGTGCAACGTGCTAAACAAAGGGACGACTGATGTAAGCATCAAGCCAAGACCTTTCGGTTCAGGCTAGTCCTTTGATGCTCTATTTTATCTGAAGTACTTTTCAATTACAAGCAGATTACAAGAATAGCTTTCCCCATCCAATTTTTATTAGTTTTATCAGTTGTGCTTGGCATAGGCTCTCTTTTGCAGCTAAAGGCCAATTATCTTTAATTAAATAGTAACTTTCACATTGTTCTTGAATAATGTTGTCTGTACTCTGTAAGCCTGAAGAAACTATATAAAGCACCCTGACTCTACAGGCTGCGATTAGTAGAATTTTTGCCACTAACTTGGAAAAAAATGTGACCTTAGCCCCATTTGTCTAAATCATCTCTTCAGCAGAAGAAACGTTAAGTAGTCAGTCTTCAGCAAAACGCTGAACAACAGGCTTAAGAACAGGCACAAGCGTTTTATTGAAGTTAGGCCATTTCCAATTATTGTATATTAGTCTGCCTCCAGTTTCCAGTTTCTATTTTCTGAAGATAAGTTTCAAACTTGAGTTTAATTTAAAAAGGCCAGCTGATTCAAAAAGAATTCCCAGTGCAACTGAGTTGGCTGGCGTATTTTACCGTTTCTATGTGGCACAGAGCTGCCCAGCTAAATCAGCTTTTTCAGTCTTTCTTGCCAGCTGCCATCCAAGTGATAAATAAAGGACTTTTAACTGGGTAGCAATGCTTTCATTCCAGAGCAACAAAACAAAGAGGTCCTATGTGCTATTGTCATCAATGGAGTCACCAGTCAGCTCCCTTCATCCTCTAGTTTCAACACTGTTTTCCTTGAACCTGATTGCTGAATGTGACAATCTAACAGACTGTAGGAAAGCAGCACTGGCCACATTGTTGACTGATAGAAAGCATTTTTCCTTTTAATGGTAGTTTCCTATAGATAAAGAAAATGTATTTTCTCAGAAGCTCACAATTTTCTAATGCGAAGTATAGATGTGTAAACTGCGCATTGAAGGCTGAGAAAGTTTGTCTTCCCCTCAGAAGGGATTAAAATAGATGTGAGTTATCCCACAGGCTGGAGAACACCAGTGTACTGCATAAGCCTCACTGTGTTCAGTAAAAACAAAAGAACAGAATTACTCGTACCACAGAGAAACTCACAGCCTTGTGCCCTGAGTCTGAGGCAAATGTGGATGGATAACCCAGGTTTTTTTTGACCGCCTCAATAAAATAGAAAAATGAGGGAAAAGAAAATGTCTCTTATTCAGATTGAACTGCTTAAATATGTTTGACTTCCCTTGTTGCTACACATTGCTCTTCTGCCAGGTCCTACCCACTCACTAAACACCTGGAACAACCACAGTCCATGCAGGACATAGACACAAGGGGACAAACAGAAATGAAGAAGAGGTAATAGCAGAAAACTTGATGACCAGTACAGGTGAGCAGGAGCAAGACCTCCCCACTCTAACTGCTCACACCTTGAGCTAAGTGGTACCCATCTACCATTCTGAGGAAGGGCTGGGGCGGGAAAATCAGAAGTAACTGAAGGGGCACACTCTGCATCAGATGTATTGCGTGATAGAGTCTACAGCCCTTTGAAGCCCAACATGCTCATTTTGAGTAGCCATTGCTCCCTGAAGCAAGAAAACTGAGGGCATGGTTCTGCCCTCAGCAGGATCCAGGCTCCTGCAGGGCTCGTGTCTCAGCAGGAATTGGAAACCAGGGACTACTGCTCTCTCAAAGGCAAGATTTTGCTGTCTCAGCAAAAGACAGAGACCTCCAGCTCCTGCTTGCTTCTGTGGTCAGAATGGGAGCTTTGACTGCTCCAGGAGGCAAAATTTGCTCAGCTGATGCCATTTGATATCTAGAAAATGCCAGCGAGTTGCTGTTTGCCACTACCCCACAAATGCACGAGGTAGATCACAGCTGTCCTTGGCAGGTTTGCACCTCATTAAAGGGTGAGATAATGCACATTCTCCCCAGAAGGCAAGGTCAGTCCTCTCTGAAGAGTGGCATTTCCTAGCTGTCACTGAGCCCACAGCTGTCTGCTATAGTGGCAAGGCCAGTGAGACAGCCCACTCCACAGGGCTCCTGGGAACTCAGCAGCAGCAGTGGCTTTATTCTTCCTCCCCAAAACGGGATAAACTGACTTTCAACATTCAAAAGCAGGTACTTAGCACATCTGTATCACCCCCATCTTGAGCACTGTGCAGATCCCTACTGCAAACTCCACCGCTCCTCTTACCAATAGGAGGTAAGGACTTCTGTATATATACTCTTCAGCCAGGCGAAGTGACAGCTTGTGACTACACCAGGATTGCTGCCTGTGTATTTATAAGCATAAAGACAGTCAAAGGCTTCATTCAGATAATTTCAAGTAAACTGTGCATACGCACATACACATTGTATTTATTGAGTAGCGCAGTGGAAACTTTACCCTAATATGTAACTTATCTGGAGTCAGCAGGAGATACAACCAGTGTAACCTAGGTAAGATTCACTTCTTCCGTTTTTTGACGTCCCAGAAAAAAAATGTTATCACTGCACTTCAGAATAAGTCAGAAGAGTGCCTTTTAGTTGAGATGAGAACTGCCACAACCTTTTTACTAAGAAATGTGAGAAAATGATATAGCAAGAGGAAAGGTGAGTGTACTAATGTGTTGCCCCAAGAAAGTGCTGTTTACATCTAGGTTAGTTAAAGGTGCAAGACTAAACAATTCAATGGAAAACTCCTCCTATGAGAGTATTCCGTGCTACCAAAGGAGATGGCTGGATATTGAGGGCAAAGATAGCTCAGTACAAATGCAATCCACATGACGGGATGCTGGGTTTTTCTCAGATGACTACAGCACACAGGCAGATCAGATGGTGACTACAGTGCAGCTGGGATCAGAAGACAACTAAAATTCAACTAAAAAATGGAAAATTATTTGGGGAATGAAAATAAACAACTATGCAACAGCGGGGTTTAGAGGACGGAAGGCCAGGAAACTTTCAATGAGTTTCCAAGATTCAGCGAGAGCTGAAACACCAACCCTGGTCAGCATCTTTGACAGCTTCCACTACAGCTTGCTCTTAGGGATGTCTGAGTACATCAAGTGTTGCCAGAAAAAAGCCTGTATCCTGCGCCATGCATCTTCCTGGGCTTTGGCATGCTCCCTCCTTTGCCCTCCCCAGTGCACAAATATCCCAAGCACTTTGTGGATTGAAGCCTGGCACAGAGGTAAGTATGGTGGCTCCAAGAGGTGTCCTGCTCCAGAATAGGAGCAAAACTCCACTTCCCGTCCATACTGCTGAAGGCGTTGAACAGCATCCCGGCAATAGAGGTCACTTTTCCAGTTCATGTCATCCAGTCCCGACAGGAAGAGGAACTTGGCCAAGGACCTCTCCATTGGAATGCGACAATCCCAAGTCGCTGGGTCCCTGTGATCATCTAGGACATCTGAAAAATCTACCAGGCCAGACTCATCACTGGTCTTCATCCTCCCCAAATCATATGGGTGGGGAGGAAGAGTGAAGCCATCCCCCCGCAGGGGAATGAAAGAATTAAAACCAATTCCAGATATGCTGACAGCAGCCTTGATGCCAGGTAGAAATGTGGCCATGGAAAGGGCTAGATCAGCTCCTTTAGACAAGCCCAAAACGCCAATCCCAGTATCTTTCACCTGAAACACAGTTATGAAACAACCATTATCAACCACTCCTCATTTCCTGGAGTGGACATAACGTCTCCAGTTCTGCTTCCTCACTCCTCATCCAAGACCACCCACATTTTATCCTTCCCTCTCTATTCAGGTTACATCACTCCCATTTCTATCCTCTTGCTGAGCCTCCACAAGAGTGACTATGAATTCTACAGCTCCTCAACATTTCTCCTTCTGTAACACTTTTTCTCGCTGGTGACCTCTATAGACAAAGCCTCTTTGCTCCCTCCACATCCTGGCTCAACACTTGCTCTCAGTATTGTAACTTTTACTGCTCCTGCCTCCAGACGCCCTCGACCTTCTCTCCTCAGGTCCCCTTTGGAAAACCACTTTTTCATGGGTTTATTTGCATTGATTTTCTTTCATGCCATTGTTTTTTGATACTCTCCTACAGCTGACCTGTTACCTCCTGTTTAAATCAACTTATTTAAAGTGAGGGTTCTTCACACCAAATTCATTTTGTAATGTGTGCCTTGTAAGATACTCTGGAAGTTTCAGAGCTCTATGAGGAACAAGACAAACAAGCAAGGCTGTATTCTGCTCTCACACTGGCTACGTTCCTGGTGCCCACGTGCTAGAAAATAAACAACTTTGTAAAATGAATACCGCATTAGGTAGCATTCCATTCAAAAGTTTAAATGCTACTTGATTTCTCTTGGTCTCTTTTGGTTTAAGTATGATGATATATTGCTATAAAGTGCCCTTCTCATCTCACATACTTGTTCAAATACAGCCCCAGTTTCTTAAGATATGGCACACTTTCCAGTGCTACAACTGTAAGGGATTCTGTTGTTAAAGTGTTTTGTTACTGTCTTGTGAAAGTTACTCAGAATCAAAAGCCTGTACATTTCAGAAATAGTAGAAAAAGTCAATGGATTTTTTTTCCTTCTAAAATCTTGAAAGATGCAAATGTAGGGGAAAAAATTAAGTGGTGTTGTGCTTCTAGTCCAGGAACTGCTTTGATTTAATCTTACACAAACACTGGTTTGCACAACACTCTATGGACTGTCATAAGATGCTGCGCAAAACCAGCTATCCAACTACTTGCAAAACTGGAGTTGAGGCACATGCTTTTCCATCTCTCAGATCACGCTGTCTTTCAGACAACGCTGTCTCCTTCTAACATCTCAGAAACTTAGTTGCATTCAGTGACATATAGCATTTCACATTAGAAAATTGGAAAATAGTTTCCAACAAGATGAGTATCGTAATTTGTCTCTTACCTGCGGTTGCTTCCGCAAAAAGTTTACAGCTTCCTCAAAGTAGCTCAGTTCAAGAATCTCTGGCATAGCAGGGAGATCTTCAAAGGCCATGTAAGCAAGAGCCAAAGTCATGAAGCCTCTGCTAGCCAGAAGACTTGCTCTGTATTCAACAAGACCTCCTCCAGATCCATACAAATCGATAAGTCCAGGGAATGGACCAGATCCTGCAATGAAAGGTGTGTGTGTGTATATATATATGTATACACACTCAAAGAGAAAAGTTGCTACAGTTGTCCCTTCAGTAGTGCCCTCAGCACATAACAGGACAGTAGATATCAACAGGAAATCATCCTCTGAAGCTTTCCATGGAGGTTCTCATTCTCAGGTACACACACAACCACTGTAAGGACACTAATTTGCATATTTCTTCTCTCTCTTAGGAACTCACTATAGGAAGTTCATATGTTGGGCATCTTTCTCCCACCATGAATTTCAGCTGAAATTGGCCTAGATGTTCTCAGGCCATTGGAGACTGATGAACAAACAGTACCACTGCATGAGCAGCGCTTCTTTAGGAACTGTGCTAGCAGGTTTTCCAGGGAGAGAATACTTGAGTTATGAAATGCACCCACAAATGCCAGCACTGACCTATGCCAATTCAGGCTTCAGTCTGATCTGGGTAACTACCCCTGGGCTTCTCAGTTTTCCTCCTGCAGCCATAGGACCTTCCATTCCTGCTGCTGGTCTGCCCATTCTTATAGCTAGACTTCCCGTACAAGGTTTGGTGTCACAGCAGCTGCAAGGGACTTTTTATTCATTACAGAGCAAGACATTCACGTTTAAGTACTGCTCAGGGAACATGAACAGTTCAGGGCTCAGAGCAGCTTTACACAGGATCCAGTCTCAGCACTGTCTCCGTACGGAGCTGTGGAATATGACGCCTGTTTAATGAAAGACCTTGCTTTTCTCATTTGTCTCCCATCTTCCTAAGTATCCCATGCAGTCAAGCTGCTCAACCAGGTAGAGAGTTCTTTCTTTGGCTTTTCCTTAGCCAGAGACAGAGAGGCAAGTCCAAAGCCTGCAAGAAGATCCGTAGCAGCTGTTGGAGCAGCCTAGGCTGGCTGCAGCCCAAGTCCAGTGCTCCCACCACACCTCATCATTTCTCGCTGCACGGCTGGAGCTGTCACGTCTCACAGCTCTGCCGAAGACCAGGGGCCTCTTTGTCCTGTCAGCTAAACAGAAGAGCTAAGAAATAAACACACTTTTCCCCAGAGCTTTCACTGCAGGAGAGGTCCTGACCCCCCTCAGCTAGAGCAAACAGGACATGCCTCGTGTTACCACTGCTGCTCTCCCTGCAGCCCCCCCCACCTCGGCATTTGACCCTCCTGGGCAATGCCTGCTCCTCCCTGCTCTGCTGTGAGGATCCAAGCAGCTGGACCAAGCACAGGCTGAGGGAAACCACTAGCTGACACTTTGCTCTGGGTTGCTGAGTGCATCCAGGGGCCACGGGGCACAATACGTGGTCTAAGTCACACCTGGAAAACCAGAATGGAATTAAAACTCACCAGGAGGGAGGAAGAGGGTTGCTTTCAGACGACCTTCTCTGACCGAAATCCTCTTCACCCCCTCTCCTATAAACCATCGTTCATTGGCGCATTTTCCCAGCAAGCGGCTCATGTCCCCGTGGCCCTCATACACTTCAAAGTCCACACAGAAAGGGGTCAGGACGTTCCTCTTTGCCAGCCGCTTATAGGGCGCTTTAGACTGCAGAGACCACAGCAGCCCCATCGGCTCCACTCCCGAATAGCTGCCCCCCAGCGCTGGGGAGCGGCTGAGGTCGAGCTCTCCGCTGCTCCCAGCCCTGTAGCGAGCGTGGGCTTGGAAAAGCTCCCCGCTCTCATCCACCAGGCTGGCTCGGAGGGTGACCACCTGCTGCGGCAGGAGACCCGCCACGCAGATCTGCACGGGGTCATCGAACAGACACCTGGAGGAAGGCAGAACCGTCACCTGCACCGCCATCCCAGCTCTCCCGCTGGGGAGAGGAGCTGCCCTTTTTTGCGGCGAGACACGGCTGCGTGAAACAGGACCGTCAGCAGCCCGTCGCTTCCCAGGCTTACAATCTCTGCCCGAAGTCCAGGAGGAACCACCGTGACTGCTTCCTTCAGCCGGCAAGCGCGGGCTGCTGGGAGACGTAGTTCAGAGCGCGCCTCCCTCCAGGCACTCTGCCTCAGGGGTGGTACAATGACACCATCCACTCGCACAGACACAAGCTGTCATTTGTTCCTGGCATGCAGTCTTACTTTTGATTATAGAGAGAGACTAAATTAAAAACCCCAAAGTGACAAAAAGAGACACTCAAACTGCCTTTCTCCCCGACCGTGGGAAAGTCCAGATTCGACTGCAGAACTGGCCTGGGCGCCTTTGCCCAGGCACAGTGAACACAAACAAACTGGAGAGCCTGAAGTAACGTGACATCTTAATCTAGCTGGGAAACAAAGCCTGCCCTTAATCCCTCTTGAGTTTTCAGCAATTTTTGGACAAGCACCACAAGGTAAAATGATGCTTTATGCTTTATCTGTGTTTCTTTAAAAAACAAAAGAAAGAGACAAAAGAATTATCTTTTTTTCTTCACAATAATCAATGTTGTCTGAAGGGTATCTGCATTTTCCTAATTAATACATGGAAAATAAATTTCCCCCCATATCACTAATGTTTCTAAGGAACTGTTTGAAGATTCGATGACAAATACCAACTTTTGGTTTTCATAAATAACGATACTATATTTTTGCGATGTCCGCGTATCTAATAGCTTTCTAGTCCTACCCTGCAGGTCTCAGACACGTGAGTAGTCTCATCCTGTTCTGTGGAAATACAAATGGGAATTAAGGCTGCAGAAATATGCTCCTGGTTCACACAACTCACCTGACCACGTGTTAGGCAGCAATTAATGGCAAAGGAATGACACAATCCATGAGCCTACAAGCTGCAGAATCACACGTCATGCCACGAGACCATAGGTGATGTGCAGATTGACTGTAGATCTGGCAAAGCAACTCTAAAATCACCACTCAGGATGTAAGACAATGCAGCTACATTTAACTACAATGGTGGAAAGAAATAAAAACCAGCAAGAAAAACATGTAGCTTGACATGGAAAATAGCCAGCATTGACTTTTGCATGTCCTCCTAGATGTCCTCCACCCATCACATAATTTGAAAAAAAAGTAAGAAATTAGTACAGAAATAAGCTTTTGAACTGACCTTTTATTGCAGAAGTTGTAATTTCTCACCATCAAAACACCACAGCCACTGAACTTAGTGAATTACAACTGGACAGGACTTTCGCCTTAAGCAGAATGCATGTGTTGGACAGATGCAGCCTGATGTACAGGTGGGTGGCAGAACAGATTCTTCCTTTTCCTCTTGGGTTGTTATGAAAACAATCTGTAGATCTGAACAAACAGTCACGGCTTCTGTTTTGGGATTTCCCAAACCTGGATTGCCTCCCTTCAAATTTTATTTTGCTCACCGTCACTGAGGCAACATGCAAAGACCTAAAAATGCTATTATCAAACCTACTTACAAGCCAAAAAATCTGGCCAATTATTCTGGACTCTGAAGTCAAGCAAAATAGCCATGATCTGTTTGACAGACGTTGTTGAAGATAATTTAATGTTCAGTTCTTTTCACTTGAATCATGTTTGTACTCCAGTCACAGATGCTGATGATTGTATCACATCAGAGAGAGAGATCACAAGCTCAAGTCTCCCACCTCTGCTATAACACTTTCACGGTTTTTGTGAGACAATCTAGTAGTTGATAATAGCTGTACTTAAGGTCATATTCCATGTCATACCAATAATTCACTGAGGAGACAAGAAAAAGGAAAAACATTTCTAAGGCTAGAATGTAATGATTTACAAACGTGTTCATAGACTGTTTACACAGTTCAGCTGGTACAGGCTTTTCCTTATTACTGACTGAACTTTGAACTGAGCAAATCTTTGACTACAGCCAAAAATAATGTAAGCAAATGTTAGAGTTCTTAAATAGTGCTGCCAATGCAACTCTGTCTTAACCCAAACCAACTCCTCTTCAGACTCTATACTGGGGATTCCTTGGAGTAGAAGCTGGCAAAATGTTTAGGAACAGAAAATGTATGCTTCTATTTAGACCAAAAATACCAAATACACTGCAAAGTTTAACATCTGGATAGGAACCTCTCTTCCTCTGAGTGTGTAAAGGATGGCAAATTCACCACTACTTCACAATGGTCATCAGTTAGACAGTGCTTTAATTCTGCTTCTCATTTTAATTTTGGTGTACATCTCCTAGAAAAAATAAGCCAAGCAGTATAATATTGTACCAATGGTTCTTGGAGGAGGATATACTCCAGCTTCAGATATTCACTGGACCAGACCCAGAGAATACTGTTTTTTCAGGTGTATACAGACTGTAGTGTAGTTAACAGACTAAAGGCCAAATAAACTCATCAACTCTTTAGCATTTCTGCTAGACAGAGCAGAATCGAGTGGCTGGGGGCTTGCAACTGGAAACAACTCTATTTTTTCTAAAAAATCTTTAAGGACTGATGCAGCAGTACTGGAAAAGAGAATCAGAAATACTGCTTTACTGCTAGCTTGTCTTTTTATCACAGTATCGCAAATACTGAAAAAAGGGCTTGCAATATTTGCAGTATTACACAAATACTAACGTTATGTTGGTCAAAATACTGTATTTACTCTTCCTGAGCAGACAGTATTATTCCAGGTAAAGGACAGCAAAAAACTCTTCCTCAAACCTTGCAAAACTTACAGGATATAATGATAATACTTTGCACCACCCCCACCCCTCCACCTGCACCAAATGAGCAATGCTTGAAATTCTGGAACTCTCTTCGGGAAGGAAAAGAAAAGGATAGAGATGATGATAAATCCTACAAAGAAAGAGATGACAAGACTTTTGATAAGCTCAGGAGAACCGTACCACAAGCATAGGCTTATTAGCAAGGTAGGAGACTGGGTCAGAGCAGATTCCAGCTCGCATGACAACAGAGTATCTTCCACGTTGTGTCTATATCCATGCCTAAAACTCATACACTTTCTGGTTTCCTTTTCTTCCCCCAGATCCTTTTCTGTTGATGTGATAACGGCACAGGCAACATCCAGTTTCTTTGTGAAAGGTGACCAATTTGCAGTTAGCAGGCTAGGCAGACAAACTGCTTAGCTCAATGTTATAAAAAGAAACTGGATCATGATCCCTGAATTAGCTATCCTTCTCCAGACTTGGTAACTAGAAAGGCTTTTGCTTCTGCTACATCCCTAGCACTTGTCAATAATGCTATGAATTATAAGCAAAAGACTGTAAGGAGGTAGCCCCATGGCATCTGCCGAGATTGCTATTTCCTCCTGAGGGGAGGTAGATGATTTTAAAGGCACCTTTGGTCCCAGTTATGCTTTGCTGTAGCTGTTTTGCTCTAGCTGCACACCCACCACAGTTCAGAAACATATCTGGAAATACTGTGTATTTTACCTGCTATACAGCCATGTGATTGCTGAACATGATGGAACCAGAGAGAAGGCAGGTATAACATCTCACCAGCTTTCACTGTACACTGCAAAGGTTTTGCCTGAGCGTACTCTGGATACTGTTCCAGATTCGGGTTCAATGGGTCCAGGGGGATCCAGGGCACCTAAAAGCAAAAGAGTATGTATATGGTACTGACCCTGGCAAAAAATTCCAGCAAGCTTCCAGAAAAAACAACTGATAACCAAACTTACTAGGTTACATAACATGTATTTTGCCTAGCAAAACACGTACAGCTACACAGCTTTCCACATTCAACTGGGAATAGGTCAAGGATGCAAAAATTTGCCTCCTTCAGGGAAGCATTTCTAATTAGGGAAAAGGTGCTAAATGTCAGCCGTGAAATTTCAGTCTCGTGGCATACTTTCAAAACACCTCCAGCCCCTTAAGTCATATGTTCCTCCTACATTCAGTACTTGAGTATTTTATCTGCACCACTCATTTTAGAAATTCCTTTCTTCTTCTAAAGCTCTCTGGTCTAATTTTATTCCCAGCAGCTAAAACCCCCCTTCCTGCTGGGAAATCCCTCTTGCCTGCATTCATTTCTTCTATGCCCTACAGAGTTATAAACCTCAGCACTCAACCTTACTGCATTACAGGAATGCTCCCATGAGATTCCACGAGCACCACTCCGGAAACAGAGAAAAAGCCCTAGCTCAAGTTCGGCTGTAGCATTAGTCACACATTGCAGAGGCAAAAGGAGAGAGATTATATACAAAAGGCTACTGAGTTTTTGTAAAGTGCCTCCAGATCTATACATTTTAATCAAATAAATATTGCTACTACTAAGAAAACACAATTTATTCATTGAGACAGATACGTTTTATTGCACTGGGTGATACTGCTGTAGAACAAAACTGAGCTCTGAGTAGAGGGCCAAAAGAAAGTGAATGCAGAGGAGTCTATTTCAGTCTTAATGAAATCAGTTCCTTTACTGTTGATTCATTTAAAAGTCCTTTACTGGATCTATTTAGGTTTGGTGCAAGGAAGACAGTTTACGATATCAATGTTTCAGGTGTGCTGTAAAAATCTTTTCTGGAAGCTGGGTATCCTTTGCGAATAGTAAAATACAAGTGAAATATCTGGGCATTCTCTTTCCAGTAATGAAGGATTTCTAAATATTAATCAATATGCTCAGCTTGAAGGCTCAGCAGTACCCAAAACTATCTTTACTGTATTGATTGTGTTCTTTATATACTTTTTACCTTATCTGCACTCTTCTCATCCACAATTTCAAATGAGCCATCTTCTGATACCTGGTAGGTTGCTGGCTGATAGAGGTCTGGAACCATAGAAAGAATTAAATGACACAACTCAGAGTAGTACTCAGAGAAACTAATGGCAGGGCATGTCACACTTTCACCAAGTAAAAGAAAAATTAAGACAAAACCATTGTCAACTCACTGTCCTCACTGTCCTTCCCTTTGTCCATTTCAATTTTTATTGAGTGTCTTAATTTTTTTTTTTTAAGTCAGTCCAAATACTGAACTGCCTTCCCGTTTGGAATTCCAGCCTTCTTTCCTCACAGGAATTGTTCTCCTCAAAACCCGTTTTATTCCTGGTCCTA